AATTTCTCTGTAATGAGAGCTCCCGACCAACATGGATAATACCAAAAGAATCATCAAATTGTGAAAGCCGCAAATAACAGAAAACCGAACATGTGTACTTTTATACTAGCTTATATAGAAGGTGTTCGATGGTTTTTTACAGTCGCCCAAAAAATTTCGACATTGAATATTTTAGTTCAGCACTTCAGTTTTCATATTGAGACTATTAAGTATAGCTAATCAACAGAATACTTATTTGATAAAAATCCATTTCGGTATTCGAATATTTATTTAACCATTATTTAAATTCTAAAATCAATTGAAACAACTGCAAGTAAGTACGTATATATATATTAATACTAAATTCTTATAACAATTTCCTAGAATTATGCACGGTCAACATACTCAATATTATATTCAAATATTGATATATCTAAGTGCTTCAAATTTAATTTCTAAAACTTTTACAATTCCATTTCAATTATGATAAATAATGTTATCGAATAAATGTACATAAATACATAAAATGTCACTACAAAATATTAATCATAAAAATTTATTATTAAAAAAAAATAAGTAAGTATTTAAACTCGTAAATTACTTAGTTAGTCATTTAAATTAAAAAAAAACAAAACTACACAAATAAACAATAAAATAAAATTTATTCGATAAACTTACTTGGTTATCACCTTACTTAATTTATTTTAGCTTTGTTACAAAAATAAAAAACGAGCTTTTTTTTTTTTGAACTAAGTAAGTATTCTTAAAAAATTACGTAAACATTTCAATACATACATATATGTGCACATATCTAACAAATACAATGAAAAATTTCTGAAATATTAATTGCAATATTGAAAATTTTGTATCGTTCAGGTGTTTCAGGTGTGTTATTAAGTAAGTGTATGTTTACACTGTAAGCAAACATAAGTAATTCAATAAGATAATCATATGACTGACTTACTACCTTACAAAAATTTCTTAACAAGATTTAGAATTAAGAATTTTTTATAATATTATGAAATATAAGAATATTTTCTAAGTTAAATAAGAATAGTAATGAATCCATTAATGATTTTAACCTTTATTTAAATAATAAAAATAATAACAAAACACCATTCACTCACAAGAACTAATAAAAAATAATTTTTTTTTTTAAAGTGAAAAACAGGTTTTTCAAATTAAAAATGTGGAGAAAAAAAAATGAAACTGGTGTTTTTTTTAATTGCATTCAAATCAATAGATTTTTTTTTGTTAAAAAAAATATTCTTTTATTATTTAAATTTTTAATATTGAAAAAAGAAAAGGTAAAGTGAGTATAAAATATAAGGAAACAAAGAATTCCAAAATTTTTTTTTTTATTTTACATAATTTAAATTTTTATCGAAAAAGTGGTTCTTAAATGCTCCAACTGATTATTTAAATGAATTTTAATTAATATTTTTAATTCTAACACCTTAAACAAATACTCAGGTGTTAGGGACAAAATTAGGCTTAAAATAAATAGTTGATCACTTGAAGTTGAGTATAAAATACTGTTTTGTAAATTGAAAAATAATTATGAATTCAAAAAGTGTTTACATACTTAATGTAGAAAGAATTTAGTTAAGTAGGCTTTACAAAATTCTAAAGCTAACAACATATAAGTATGTTGTGTGTCAATTAAATAACTATTGCTATCTTAATTATCTACAAAATTGTTGTAATTTAATATTTTGTAATTAATTTTTCTAAAAAAAAATTAGATAGTTAAATATTTTCCAATTACTTATTTTAGCATTAATTACTTTTATTGAAGTAGATTTGCTAATTTGTACCTAAATAGAGTAATTAGTCGCAACAGTGGGAAAGAATATTATTGGCCCATTATTTATAAACTATAGATTTAATAATAATTTTTGGAATAAAGTAACCTAAATTTTATTTTTTTTATTTTCTCTTTTAGCTGATCTAGAAAATAAGCTATTCTAGTAAAATTAAAAGTAAAACAAAGAGTATTGGAAATTGCTCGATGAGGAAGAAAACAAAAAAAGATCCCAAGCTAAAATTCTTTGTTATTGTTACATTTTTGGCTCAAAATAATTTTTGAAACCCGTTTTCGATAAAAACCGAGAGTCAGAAAATATTCTGAATTAAATTACAAGTACATACATATTTATTTAGAGCACTCAAGACCTTACTCAAATAAAATAACACACACTCTTTTCTCGCCGGCTTCGCAATTAAGTACTCTCAATTATCGCAAAATTTAATCTAATTTTCTTTTATAAAATTTTCAATTACAAATTTTAACCTTAATTTTCAAAATTATTTTTAATTTTTAAAAATTTGCTTTTAGTACTTATTGCCTTTTTTGCTAACTATAATTCTTGTTTCATATATCCGAGCTTTCGGATTGAACTTATCTTGTAATCATAGAAGTCATTTAAGAAAAACGTCATTCCTGAATTTAATTAAAACAAGAATATGAAGAAGAACAATAATTAAGAATTAATTTTTCTTTAAAATATTAAAAATTCATTTAAATTTAAAATTTGATTACTGATTTAAAAATTTTAAGTTTTAAACAGCCCGGTTCAACACATAAAATTTCACCTTGATTTTCATATAAGAATAAAAATTTAAAAAAGATGCTCAGAATTAAGAATATTTTTTTTCAATTTGTGTTCTTTGGGTGACCTTTCTTTCTATTATTCCCTTGTTTTTTTTTTTGCAGAACAAAACCTTACTTAAGTCATGGTCAGAAAAATAATTTCACTAATACATTCAAATTATAAAAAAATACTTCATTTTCCTTCATTGCTTTCTTACACCTTCCAAGAATTTATTTTAAATTTGCATATTTTTAAAATTACATACTGTTTTTATCACCTTCCACTTATTTGAATTTCAAGGTTAATCATTATGAATGCAACGAACGTAGCCTTTACTTGGAAATGTTCAAATGTAAAAATGAAAAAAAATAACACCAAAAACAACAAAAAAAAATTTATGACAAATGAGTGGCGACAAATAAGGATTCAAAAATGAAAAACAAACTAACTACGAAAGTCAAACGGACTGATTTACTTACTTAGTCTTACTATCTATATTTACTTAAGTAATGCTAAATAAGTATTTGAATATTTAATTAGATATGCATTTATAATTTAAAAAAAAAACAGAAAATCTACATATTTTTAATTAATTATGAAATAAAAATTTTAGTTTCTGTAAACTTACATACGTAAGTATTTCATTCATAAAATAATAATACTACTCGTATAAGCTCAATACGAGTTTTGGCCATTTTTATTTAAATTCAGTCTGAATAAGTTAGAATATTGTTCAAATCTAATTTGCAATGAGGTTAACAAATAAAATGAATTTTCTTTTAACACAGCCTAACCGTGTATGTAGGTACTCATACAAGTTTGTTTTTATTTACTTTGTCTGCAATTTTCATTTATTCTTTACGAAAAGTCAATGATCTCATGACATACTTACTAGTTATATGTATTAAATATTTTATAACATAAGAACAAAACTAAAATTTAAATTTTTGGACATGCTTTTTTTGCTTTTGAAAAATGAATTTCTATATCAATGGAAAAAATGATTTTTATTAGTTTGAAGTGAGTATGTGCACTTAAATAATCAGGTTAGTTCTAAAGGTAATAGGGAAGTAAAAGCAATGAGCAAAAAAATTAATAACCAAAATCAATATTAGATTTAAAATCATAGTATGTAGATACATATGTAGGTAATTATAGTTAATTCAATTCATTGGTCTCGAATTAATTGGTAAACATTGATTATTTAGTTGATAATGTAATAGTTGTTCTTTAGTCAAATGTAAGCCAACTAAAATAAGGAAATGGTAACAATGAGGATAAGATAGGTAAGTATATACACTACTTAAATCCTAACAAAATTCCCGTTAAGAGGGCAAATGGTAGTAAAGAGACTAGGTAGATTCACAAATTATGCATGCTTCTAGTAAAAGATAACAATTTATTTATTTGTGATTGATACACAATTAGCAATATCAATACTTATAGATCAATCAAAAGATCAAATAGGAGTAAAAATTTATACAGAAATTCGTAGGCAGCTACGAATTGGATTTGTAGGTATTTAGGAACTAAATAACTTATTATAATTAATAGTAATCGAAGTAGGTAGTTTTTGGAAAAGCATATTAAATAATTTAATGTTCTTGACGCTTATCCAGAATATTTTTTTCAAAAATTTAATAAGATTTCAAGAAATAAGAACGTTTTCTTACCCATAATTTCAATAAGATTAATTTTCATTTAATAGAGTGTTTAATAATTACACAACGAGGAGTGAATAAATTTTGAATAATATTGAAAAAATTATTTTAAATTTTCAATTCTATCCTCCATAAATTGAAGAATGGAATTATTTTTGTTGTTTGACATTGTTACAGTTGCAACACTATGACACAGTTCACGTATTTACTTATACGAACGTATGGTTACTTATTAAACATAAGCAGCGTTCCTATTTTTCAAATTAGCAAACACCTAGTATTCAATGATTAAACATTAACACTTCCACGCTAGTTATAAAAGTGTGTACTATACATAAGTATATATCAGCTTAATATATAACACATTTATGTAATTTTGTCACAATATTACGTTTCAATATGAAATTTAAGTATATGTAGATACCTACAAGAGAAAAATAAAAAAAAAACTGATGAATCAGCTTTGATCAAATTGTGGTTTAAAAATACAGAAGTTAACAAAATGACTAACAAAACCACTAAAAACAATATATTGATAAATTTATTAAAAAATACATTTTCAATTTATAAAATAAAAAAAGAAACAAAAAAAAAATTGTAATCAATATATTTGAATCGAAGTCGGAAGTTGTCAAAACATGGCAAATTTCAATATCATTGCGGCAGTATTGTATTTAGTATTAGATTAAGACAGTAAATAAATTATGTATTACTTTAAATAGAAAATTAAAACTTACCCAAAGTTCTGTTCCCCAACTCATGATGACTAATTTTTTTTTTTATTTTATTTTCCTATATTATTATGTAAAGGTATCCAAGCCAATTCTACTTGGCTGGATATCCTCTGAAATGAAGTATTTAAAAAAACAAAAAAAAAATTATGGTGATGATGATGTTGATGATGATAAAAAAATCCAATATCCCAAAATTGTTCTTGTGATTCTTATTTTATGTTTTTGTAATCCACAAATGGTAAAATCCTTGTTATTTTATTTCCAATAATGGTTGAAAATTTTATAGGCTCTTGTATTTTTTTTTAGTAAGTATCCTTGATTAAAATAATCCAAAAAAAAAAAAGTATTTTAGGTCGTCTGTAGGTAGATAGGTAGTCAAAAAGAATTTAAAAATGTTTATTTTTTTTTATATAACTAAGCAGGTTGGTATGCTGCTTGTTGACGTTTCCACTGGTTATTTAGGAAATTTCCGAATTAGATTTTATTTGTCTACATACAAACATGTATACGTCGATATATTTTATTTCATAGGTATATATATGTAGGTATGTATATTATATTATCCACTTGGCGTGTGTATGTATACCTGAATTATATTTCTTATTCATGAAAATTATTAGGCATTAAAAATAAAAAAAAAAATTTTTTTTCGCCTCACGACTTTTGCCAAAATTTAATTTTATATTTCCAATTAAATTTTATTTTCCTTTTAAATTTTTAATATTTTATAACAATTATTTTTTCTAAATAAAATTTTATTTCTTACTATATTTGTGCACTTTATTCACTCATTTTATGTGGGTAGAAAAAATAAACGATGGCAAAAGATTTCATTTCGTAATTTTTTTTTTCTTCAATTTCAATAATCACCTTGTATGTAGGTATGCACTTTTTTATATCGAAATTTTTTTTTTCCTTATTTTCAAGAATACCACTAAAAATAACAAATAACTATTTATTTTTTAATTATTTTTCATTAATTAATTAAAATTTTTCTTTTTGATTTTCAAATGCACTTCATTTTAAATTCAATAAAATTAATTTGTGTATTTTATTTACTTAGTATGAAAAGAAAAAAAATAACAAAAAATATTTTTTTTTTCTTTTTTATTTATTCCGCACGCGATCCTCTAACAAATTTGAAACTCTTTCATCAAAAATATCTATCGTTAAACTAAAAATTCAAGTTTTCATTTGGTAAATTTTAGTGTGGAAAAAAAAACAAAAAATTATAAACAAAAAGAGGAGCACCAGAAAGAAAACACAAAATTTAAGGAAACATGTTTTTTTCTCTTTCTTACTCAAGGAAATTTTAACGAAACAATTGAAACGAAATGAAATTGAAAAATATGGCTTACTTTAAACGTTTATATGGATTGTAGATGTCGCTTAATTAGGTTTTATTTATATTGTTCTCTAATGTGTCAGGGTTGAGTAAAAAAAAATATCTTGTACAATTTACATATATTATTCTTACTTCTCCGAACTCTTATAAGAGGAATATGATACATGCACATAATACGGAAAATTGTTTACATTATTAAATTCATTGAAATTTAGGTCTTGTTGCAGATAAAATAATTTAGGTTCCAGCTCAGGTTTGCAATACTTAGAACTACATTACGATAGAACTAAAACAAGTACTACTATCAATAGTAATACCCATTTGCAGCAAAAATCTCAAAGCAAACTATGAGAAAACCTTCTATGAACACATAGATGTGAATGGCAATCGTTCTTTTGAAACTTGATCTTAATAATCTATAACAACTCGATGAAAAAATCAATTTGTAACTTCTTAAAATAAAACTTACATAGTTGGAATTATTGTTAATAGGAAAGAAAATTTAAAAAAAAATTATTTGAAAAAAATATTAAAATAGATTAAAATTATTAAAAATTCTAAATAAATATTTCAAGTTTTATCTATCGCCCACTAGATATACTTTAATTTAAAAGATTTCAAGTAAAATCGCTAGTTGTTGACAAAAGTACGTGTGGCAGTCAAATTAATATTTAAATGTCACACATTATAGGTTATGTTGCTTTATTTACTATTCCTCAAATTCAAATAAAAATTAAAATTTTGAAATTTAATGGAAGATAAAGATTTTGAAACAGAAAAACGTCCTGCTTTTGGAAATAGATTTTTAACGGATGAAAATGATGTTTTTAAACATAATGCATGGTAGGGAAATTTATATAAAATGTATTCGTATATTAAGTAGGTGGTATTGCTATGAGCACACAAGATTTCGAAAAAAACCACCTGGTGGAACAAGATTTCTTAAAGATCCTAAGCAAATTTTCAATTTTAATGCATGGTAATTTACATTTACACAAAAAATTTTACTAAAGTAAATTTGTATTTTCATTTTAGGGACAATGTTGAATGGAATGAAGAACAGGAACTGCAAGCTAAATTGGCTATTGAAAAGAATTCTAAGATAAAATTTACAGATGAAGATATTAAAAAATTTGAAGAAGATGCTGACAAATATTGGGATCAATTTTATGATATTCATGATAACAAATTTTTCAAAGATAGACATTGGTTATTTACTGAATTTCCTGAATTGGCACCAAAATTAGATAAAGAAGAAGAAAAAAATATGAAACCTCGAAGTATTTTTGAATTAGGTTGTGGAGTCGGTAATACAATTTTACCAATATTGAGTTATAGTATGGAGAAAAACTTAAAAGTATATGGATGTGATTTTTCTTCGAAAGCTATTGATATATTGAAAGAACATTCTAATTTTGATTCCGAAAGAGCAGAAGTATTTGTAATGGACGTGACAAAAGAAAATTGGTCAGTACCATTTGAAGAATCAAGTATCGATATAATAATTTTAATATTTGTTCTGTCAGCTATAAATCCAAGTAAAATGGAAAATGTTGCAAAAAATTGTTCAAAATACTTAAAGCCTGGCGGTATGGTAATATTACGTGATTATGGAAGATATGATTTGGCTCAGTTAAGATTTAAAGAAGGAAAATGTTTACAAGATAATTTTTATGTTAGAGGTGATGGTACAAGAGTATATTTTTTCACCCAAGAAGAAATAAAACAACTATTCGAAAAAGTTGGTTTAGTTGAGGAACAAAATGTTATAGATAGAAGATTACAAGTAAATCGGAGTAGATTACTTAAAATGTATCGTGTTTGGATTCAAGCAAAATATAAAAAGCCTGCGTTAGATTGTTCGACATAAATGAAAAGTTTTTGTTATACTATTTAATGTTAATTTGTAATTTATAAAGCTTTAAAATCTCACTTTAAAATCATTTTTGAATTTTGCAATAAAATGAGGAGTAAAAATTTTTAACATACATAATTATGTATATTTAAATATCGATGAAAACAATAAGTCGAGCCAATTATAAGAATAACTGAAAATAACCTTAGAAATCTTAAAATAGGATATTTCCGTAGTCTTGCAAAACGCATAAAAACAATGTGTCATTTCATTAATCTATTTGATAACAAACATTCTATATTTGAAATGAGTAGAGTAATTTGTGCAATAGGGCGCAGTAAAGAATGTTAAATAGAATCAAATAAGTAGTTACTTACATTTTTTGAACTAAAAAATGCAAAAAATATAAAATGAGTTAAGTAATAACCGGTCTAACTTAGATATACATACATATATTGTAAATAATATAATTAAGCACTACACTCACAAATAAATTTGCAAGTATAAAACGAAATTGGTTCTAATATACAAAAGTACGTTTTAATATGAGAGAACAATAAAGTAAAGTTTTAAAAGATAGAAAGTCTTCTTCATATGAGTATGTTTTATTGTAGAAATATCTACAATAAAACATACTTACCTATGTTATACCTATAATATTCTGATTTGAAGTTTATCACTATGGTCTTCAGCACTCATATCTAATTAAGGTACAGCAACGATCTATAATTTTCTTGTCCCATCTGTTCTACTCTGAAATGAAATTTCTACAGGAGCATAATGTACCAAATCAATTAAACAACGGAAACTCTTTAATGAAAAACTGATAAATATTAAAATTTCCTGAATCGAATATTGTTACAAAAACTTATTAACAAACTATGTTAGGTACATATTTACATTAATATAGCTAATTAAATTCTAACTTTAGATCATTTTATTTTTATTGAAATTAATTAAGTATAAAATTAAATGTGTAACATACAAATATACTTACTCTCAAAATATAGTTTTTTTTAGCACTTTTCCAAAAAAGTTATTTAAAACTGCTTATTGGTTCGTTCGCCCATCCGTCCTTCAATGTGTCTCTTTTTCAAGCTGCTATACTCTTTAAAATAAAAAAGCTGACATTTTAATATGTAAATAGATTTACTAGAAACTTATTTCTAAAGAAAATTTTTGCTTATCTCCCCCATTACGTTATTTTTGCCCATCATTCTCCATAAATTTTATAGTTACCTATAAATGTCCTAAAAATGTTTTTTTTTAGACTACTTATTGTAACGAAACCACAAATATTTTTCAACTTCTGTTAACGCAGAAAAGTAGTGGTTGGCGTCTTTTGCCACATCGCGGTTTAGTTTTGAGATTGGAAATTACAAGATAGTCGTTCAAATTAACCGTTTATATAAAGTCCCTTTTTTTAAAATTTTTGATATCATTCTTCTTTTAGACAGTAAAAATTAACAGTCCAAATTTTTAACAACTTTTGTACTAATAAATAGTTCATAAAAAAATTTTTCTCCATCTTCATATCTTTCCAATTTATAGGTTCTCAAAATTTGAAATCTTAGCCTCTTGTATTTTCGAAACTGCAACTTTATCAAAATTTCTAGAAATGTAGAAAGCTTTATCTTGACTCACGCATTTAACTCTTAAATTCAATCATTATGTTAACATTTCATTAAAATTTTCTTATAAATAAATTAATAAAAATAATTTAAATAATGTAGAATTTTTTATAAGCAGATTCTTCATTTATTGTAGGGAAAAGTGATAATTTACAAACCTTTGGTTCGACCCAACTTTATTTAATTAAAAAAATCGCTTCTCTTTTTAAATTTTAACCATACATATTTTGCTTTTTTATTTGATTTTACATTATTCACAGCCAGACTAATGTGATCTGACCTGACTAGAGTCAATCATTTTCCATTTCTCATTTGTTTTTTATTTTCTACCTTTTCATTTCATTACAATTTTAGTGGTCGTCGCGTTAACATGTCGCTTTTTCTGTGCTTTTAATTGCTTTTATTTTTTTTATATTTATTTAATTTAACGTGTTGCTACGTAGAGAAACAACAAGATCGCGGCATTATTATACTTGCAAGTACTATAAATTACATTTTTTTGTGAAATTTGTGAAAATAAAATTCATAAGAATTTTTAAGAAAAGTTAATAGATTCATTTTTGTTTATTTATATTAGTAATATAAAATAAAATAATTAAGAAAAAATAAACATTTTTTTTTTAAATTAGAAAGATTTAAAATAATTCTTTTATTGTTCGCGGATTTTTACTATTCAAACATTGCAATTTGTAGTAGAAAGAAAGTATTGAGAAACTTGAAACGAGGAATTGAATTTTGTGCTTAAAATAATTTTTTTTTTTAAAAAATTGTCGGTGAATAATTGAACATAAATTTTATATACACATAAATATGTAAATAAATGAATAAAAAAAGACAAATAAGTAATCAAACATTTTTATTGTTAAAATAAATAAAATTTGTTTTGAAAATAAAAGGAAATTGTGAATGAGAACGAAAAATTCATTTAAGAAAATTATTGGTGATCAAATAATAAGAAAATTATTCAAAATATTTGAAACTAGCGGAAATCCGAATTAAAAAAAATTAAATTTTATATTGGTAAGAAAAAATAATTAAATTTTTGTATGAATATTTTTAGGATATTGATGTAAAACAGATATTTTCGAAATCTAGCTCACTTCATGAAATTTAATGCTAGTTATAGCATTATTACAACTTTAATCATTAAGAACTGTGCAAATTTGTAGTACCTTAATTGTGTTCAGTTTAAATTGCCCAGTTGCTACAGTTTAATAAAAAATTGGAGCGCAGTATGTTAACAACTGTTAAAATTCCAAATTCATATTCTTAGTTTTTAATTTCTATATTAAGATCTAAGTATTTAGTCGGTATAAGGAATTAAATTTTTAAATAAAAATAAAAAATTTGAAATTTAAATTTGTATTAAAATCTATTGAACACACTTACGAATTAATATTTTGGAAAGAGCATAAAGAGAGTACATATGTATGTATAACAACTTCTCTTGCAGATCAGTAAAAATTTATTGTAATTGTTGAAGCTAATAATGCATTTTTTCTGTTTATTAATCGAAATTGATCGAAAATTTTTGATCAGGATAAAATTTTAAAAATACTACTTTAATATATAGAATTCAGCAATTAGGACCTAAATATAAGCTTATTGTACATTATCACAAATTCACTTAGGCTGTTACATATTTGTCTTTTTTAAGTAATCAAGACTAAGTAATATAAACCTTAATTTCCATAATGCAGTAATACAATTTATACACTAGCTTACAAGTATGAATTTTTCTAGTTGTATTTGTATATTAATAGTGTCCTATTGAATTTTAGAAGTCGAGGATATAGAAAACTGATTTTCTAAGGATTGTTTTTTTTTTTAAATAAATGCAATGAAACAAGCGTTTATATATAATTGTATTCTCTGCTTTATTAATTAAAAAACTGATATTTTCGATATGGCAGCACGTTATGCTAGATGCTGGTGTTCCCAGACTGTATACCACACTACAAAGTAGTAGTATAAAATTCTTTTAATTTTAGTAAAAATAAAGGAAATTTATTTTTTCTTTCCCTTTAAAATAATAAGTATGTATAGAAATGAATCGATTGGTTTGCAATTTGAATTTTTTTTCATTTAGCAGCCGTGTAAGCATTAACTACCGATTGATCTTATATTTTGAGGATCGACGCTCCGCGAAATTTTTACACGGTAATCCAAAAATATTGGTATCGGTTATAGAATAATACTAGTATTAAGTCAAGTGCTATATAATTTATAAATTAAAGATTATAAAACTAGTAATTCTAAACGCAAACACTTCGATAGGAATTTTTAAAATATTAAAACTGCTTTGTCTGATGAGAAAGCGTAGATGGTGAACCAAAATATTGTTGCTCTTATCTACCTTTCTACTATTCATTGAATAAAGGTCAAAATAACTTAAAAAAGCAAATTTCCAAATAATTTTCAGGTATATAATAAAAACATTCACATGAATGATCTTGTTTAAAGGAAAGAATATTATATCATTTAAATATAAATATTATATATACATACATATGCACTCACATAATAAGCATCTATACACAACATAATTTTAGATAGAGGTGCTTATCAACTATAATATTTATACATAAGTAGTTTATTTTGTCAGCTACTAAGATTTACGCGAATAACCAGACTGTGATTCACTATAATGCTTTTCAGAAATTTTTCCATATTCCTATACATACATGCATATGTAAGTGTACATGTGTTTACAAATGTTCATAAATGAAATCAAATCTAATTCATAAATTTATATCTCAAACATTTGAGGTAAAAAACTTTTATGGTTTAAATAAAACAACAAAAACAATATAGAGAACAAAAATGTGATTTTTAAATTTAAAAGTCTGGTTGAATTTTGTTAAATACGGAAATAGCTTTGTTGAATTGAGTGAAATGAGATTAATATGAATTTTTTTTGCTCCTAAATTTAAAATTTATTTAGATTTTTTATGGTATTTTATGATGTGTTCTAACAGACAGAGAACAAACAAGTATATTCTGCTTACATTTGTAATTTTATGTAGTTGCAAACGAGGATTAAAATAATATAAACAAACTTATTAAAATAAAAGTAAATGACGTTTAACGAAAAACATACATACATGTTATTATATCTACATAGAGGTTACAACATAGGCATTGCTTATTTAACCTTCAGTTATCATTTCCTTGCAATATAAGTTATTTTGTTTTTACAGAAAAATTTGATTCCAAGAGTTGCGTATCATGTTTGCCACACTTATCTCTACACTACCTATTAATTTTTGATCTGTAATACCTTATACTAAGATTATCTACACACAGCATAATTTTAGGTTAAGGCATCTGTATATTTTGATACAGATATTGGTTTTGTTATAAATTAGCTCGTATTACATTTTGGAACAGTAGCTCGAATATTTGCTAAAATATAGTGAAGTAAAAATTATTTATTTAAATTTTTTTCGAAATTTTATAAGAGCTTCTCGAATAGCTATCACATCCACTTTAAATACCGTATTTAGTTAAATAAACCATTTGTGAGTGTGTGATGAATTTGAGTCAATCATTTTTTTTTCAGTTATATATGGTATCTTGAAGAGCGGATTTTTCCGCTCATATAGAGTTGAGCTGTAGAGTATTTCTGGCTTATAATTTATAAAATTGACGTTTTCCGCATTTGAAGTTTTAATTCAATGTTTTGTGTTTTCCTACTTATACAAATGCAACAATATTTCAATTAATAAAATAAAAATCAAAGGAAGGTAATGAAGCCAAAATTTATGGTTTTTAGACTGTATTTTTTTTAATTAAAATTATAACAGTCTGAATTATTGTAATTTCAGATATGTGAGAGACAAAAGTAATATTTCAACAAAACATGGTAGCTTAAAAGCAGCAAAAAATGTCAACAAAAAAGACAACTTCCATGGGCTTAAACGTTTTCATTTCGGGTAGAAATAAAATTTCAAAATTAGTTCTAATCTAAAATTATTTCTTAAATTTTAAAAAATTCGTAAAATTTGTGTTATTCAGATTATAGTTTTGTTCTATCACTATTAAATTAAACAAGTTTTAATACAATTGCATAACCATTTGAAAATTAAATTATTGTTTACAAAATTCCTGTCACTCCGTCTGTCACAATGTAACGCTACAATGTGTGTATATATATACGAGTAAATACGTTAATTAAAATTACCTAATAATTAATTTGTCTTACATACTTTGTTTACTAACTGTGAAATTAGATAATTTGTTTTGGACTAAATTATAAAACTTATTGAAAAAATTGTGAGTTTAAATAAATAGTGTTACGAATATACACGATGTTATTGTGTGTTGTTGTAATAATTTAGAATTTGTTATAAAATGTCAATCTAATTATGTGCATAGAAGCACTTAAAATGAATAAAAGACTCTGAAAATGAATAAAATATAAGTATTCAAATTAAAGATTTTAAGGAGTCTCGCTCTTCTTCAAAACTTAATTGATAATTAAATTGCAAAATTATTAGTAATAATGCAAATATTTCTTGTACATTTAAATTAATTCTAAAATTTCCGCTTATAATAACCTTGTAATAATAATATTAATAATTATAAATCGAATTGCAAATTTTAAAATCTAGTTTTATTGATTCAACGTTTTTTATTTTTTCGCTTTAATTTAAATTTTATATTTAATATTTAATATAATTATATAATTATGAATACGAAATTTCAATTAAAATTTTAAATATTAATAAACTCGAATTATAGAATTTTTTAATTAAACTAGATTAAATCTAGACTAAACTAAATTTATCTAAATCAAACTAAATTTTATTACTAAAATTTATTTAAATAAATTGCCAATGTTTTTTATATTACTTATATAGTTTTATTTTTTTAATATCATGCTTATTATTTTAATAAATTGAAATGTAAATTTTGTTACGACACGATTATTGTGTGTAAAATAGGTTTGTATTAGTAAATAAATTTTTAAAAGCTATGCCATTATTATTATTGTTATTTGGCTAATAATCTAGAAATATGAATTTCGACGCGTGTTTGTGTAAGTTTGTATTTCGAGATTATGTTTATATTATAATAAATTAAAACGCAGATACAGCCCGACCCGCTTATAAGCACATCACAAAATTTGACGTTGCTTAATATCTGGTTTTTGTTATAAATGAGTTCAAATATAAGCACAAATTTTGCTCTAAGAGACGTAGAATGGCAAAAATTTCAAAGAAGTAGATAATTTTCTTTAAGTATAATTTATGACTACTTTAATGTATGGGTCGAATTTTAGATGAATTTAAAAAGTTTTTGTGCTAAAATTTTTTTTTTTATTTTTAATAAAATGAGCCTGACACAAGGAAGAGAAGGTAAATTCGAAAAATTTATTTGTGTTTCTGGTAACAGATGCGATTTTTAAGCGTGTAAATTACAATACAAACCAAAAATAGAAAAATGTGAAATTAGAAAACTAATTTTGTTTTGACAATAAAGGAGTTTTGCTTATATATAAAACGACTTCCTCATATACGGGTCCGACTGTATGTAAGCATAAAATTTTAGCTCAGGTTTTAAGTTGATAGTAGTTTATAACTCATAACGAAAATTAATAATTTTATGTCCTAGATGACTGAATTAAGAGTTAAAAATAGTCCCCAGGCTGTTATGCCAACTCGTAGTCTCACATTGCGATATTATTCTTCTACTAAAAAGTGCTATTTATTAAGAAAGAAAAATTAATTTATTATTACTTATCTAGAATTTAAATATAGGCACCGAAAAAGAACGAATTATTATAGTATAAAAATTATAACCCGAAAGTAAACAAATTTTATTAACTATAAATAATTTAAATTTTCAAAAAATTTTTAAGAATTTTTTATTACTTATTACAATTTCGTATATTTATGGCAACAGATGCACTATAAAATTTTTAAAGTTATACAACAAGTATATGAATTTTTTTTTTTCATTAATAACACTAATAACACTTTTAAATTTCCAAATTTTTAAAATTTGATTTAAATTGA